TGCTGTACTGTTCTTTGTTCTCTTGTTCTTTGTTTGTTTCTGTTTTACAGACCCAACCTACCTTAGAATTAAATCTCTGGGTCTGTTATTTTTCTGAATTGCACATTCTTTCACTGACGTAAATTTGTCTTTCTGGATCTGTGCTTAATTTTAATTTCTCTTTAAAATTCGTTTGCTCTACACTTGTGATCACTCCTGTTCCAGACTACACAGAGCCCACACCTGCTGGCCGACCAGACCATTGACAGTTCTTTGTAAGCTGCCAATTGGGACAATAGATAACAGGCATCATCAATAGAAATTAACCAGAGTTAACAAAGGATCACTTTTTCTTAAAAAACAGGGACACAAACAATAACAGTGGTCACCAGAAAGTTTCAAGAATTCTAGCAAATCACAGCAGACTTACTTTCCAGCCATACACATAACCAATCCATCATTTTCCAGGCATCTACTTTCTGGGAATACATACCCCTTAAAAATAACCATGTAATGGAATCTGGAAGAGATAGAAATATTTTGGGCAACTTCAGGGCCTACCGTGTGAACGATCAAATGTTGAAATGTGTTGTGTGTCAGTTTACCTATGATTTACAAAATTTCAAATGATTCTGTGGAGGGAAGGCAAGCAAAGCTTTTAAAAGAAATAAGATATAGATTGTGGCTTAGTTGCTGGAAAAACTGTTTTAGAAGAATTCCTATGCTGAATATTGCCTAGCACTAGCCTCTGTTATCAAGTTGCTGTTATCAAGTCAGTACAATGAAGGATCTCAGAAAGCTAAACTCTTTCTCTTTCCTAAGAAGACAAACCTCAAAGCAGGACCAGCTGAAAAGGTCTCTCTTGACTGAAATATTAAGGGAAGGTGTAAAAGTCAAATACCAGGATTTCAAATAGCCTTTCTACTGATCTTGTCTGATTTGAAGATGTCACCAATTCTACAGCTGTCAGTATTTTGACCTCGCTGATAGAAATCAGCTGGACTGTAGTCATCACGTTTTATCCTTCCACTTTGGACCATTGGCCCAGAGGTAATTTCCCTTCACCATTTTTTTAAAAACCCAAATAATCTCTAAAAAGTTGCATTGCCCAGTTTGTCATGTGATGTTGTGCTTGAGAATAAGGGGATATATTTTAATTCTACACAGTAACTTCATTGCTCACCAGGTGCACCACTTACTGTAAGAATAAGTTTACTTCTAATAAATAGGACTCTTATGGCACGGTGATAGTGTTCTGGGCTAGGACCGGAGTTCCAGAGCCATCTGCTCTACAGGTGTGTAATAACATCTCTGAACAGGTTGATTAGAAAATATCAACTTCTAGTAAATGAGTTATTTTTGAGTTAATTACAGATACCTGGCAGATGTTTTATTCAAGACAGTAGTACAAGAGAGAAACAAATTGACCGTTTTCTGAAGAAGGGTCTAGGCCTGAAACGTCAGCCTTCCTGCTCCTCTGATGCTGGTTGGCCTGCTGTGTTCATCCAGCTCTACACCTTGTTGTTATCTCAGATTCTCCAGCATCTGCAGTTCCTACTATCTCTGACCGTTTTTGGTACAGTTTTGTACTTCTTGCAAGGTAATAGACTTGATTACTAGCAGACTCCACCCAGTGAAGGTGTAACATACTGCACTCTTTTCTGGCTACTTAATGACCATTACTTATTTTTAACTCTGTATTGAGAAGAGACAAATCTATTTTTACTACCAGGTTCTTTTCATTCTTCAATCTTTCTTCCAATTTCTGTCTTTAGTTTGCCAAAAACATCTGCAAGATCCTTCAATTTTTCATTCCAGAAAAAAGCAGCACGATGACAATGTCCTGCAATGTGAGCGACCAACCTCAACAAAACCCCTTAATTTTGTACAGCTCAGATTTGAATGAACAGAGCTGCACATCTTCAATGATCTCCAAATAACTAGGCTTCTCACCATTAATAACATCTCCTCACTGAATCCCTTCTGTATCTTTAGAAATAATCTTCAATCCTATTCAAAGAAAGATGTCTGAAAGTGTGCACAATGTTCTAACTGCAACCTAACCATCAGGTTAATTCACCACAGTGATACAGACAGGAAGGCAGTCAGGGAAGAGGGAGAGAATAGATGTGACATTAATGAGGGCTGAGCGGAAGAAAAGGACGCTACCAGATCTGCCAGCACTGCTTTTGTACTTCCAAAAGATTAATGCAGCCATTGAAATTAATGTTTTACAATTGGAATAGCTGTCCTTTGATTTTAACTGCTGTTATCAACTAGAAGCTTCCATTGTGTAATGCAAGTCGAGATACTGAAACTAGTACCATGGAGAAGCCCAAGTGGAAATTTAAGAAACTAGTAAGGAAAGATAGTTTGTTCTGGTTTGCAAATCAGAGAGAAGGGGTCAATTCAAAATAGTCAGAATGGGCGAGTGATAAGGAGAAGTTTTGAAAGTATTGTATGCAGTTTTAGCGTCCTTACTTAGGCAGGGATAAAATTGTATCTGATGCAGTTTAGAAATGGCCCATTTGGCAAATTCCTGGGATGAGAGATTTGTTTTATGAGGAAAGGATGAGCAGATGGGGCCTATATACATTGTTGATTAGAAGAATTAAAGATGATTTTATTGAAACATTGAAAATTCTGAGGGAGGTTCATAGGATAGATGCTGGGAGGGTGGGGAGTCTAGAACTACAAGACACAGTTTCAAAATAAGGAGTCTCTCATTTAAGACAGAGATGAGGATGTTCTCTCAGAGGGGTACAAGTTTTTAGAACTGTTTTCCCCCAGAGAGTGGAGAGCACCAGCATGAGATAGAGATGGTTTGACATACATTTCAGGGTTTCATCTTTATTCAACAAAGGGTTTAAGGGTGATAAGGGCAGGCAAGAAAGTGAAGTTAAGCTAAGCCCCAATCAAATCAGTATCTCATTGAATGACAAAACACGGTTGGTGGAGGGTGCCAAATAGCATACAATTCTTACTCAATTCTTTCGACCTTAACTTCTTTTTTGGTAACATCTGTCAGAGGTTGAAATGTTTTGCCATAACCAGGTGTGACAAAGAGCAGATGCTGCACAGAAAGACACAGGGTACAGCAGAGAGATGGGCAGGATTAGTTGAGGATTTCTGCACCAAAAACAGTAGGTACCAACATGACAGACTAAATGGCCTCCTTGAATTTTATAAAACTCAATGGCTGAATCAGCTAGTGAACAAAGTCCGATTTGAGGTCAATACATTCCCGGTCTGCATGGCTGTTTCCCACAGGATACTAAAGTTACCAATCAAAACAAAATAAATGTTAGTCAAAACAGTCAGTTCACATAACAGCATATCTACCTGCATTTACATAGAAGCTTATCACACGCCAAACGAAGAGTCAGTCAAGTCCTTTTGAAGTATAGTCATTGTCAAGCAAGGAAACACTACTATCAATTTTGGTATAAAAAGACCCTGCAACAATATTAGAATGGTCAATGAGCGGTTCTTCTGCCATTAGCTAAGGCACTGTTTTTGGGGTGAATATTGAGAGAACTCCATAATTGACAAAATATTGTCCCACAATATCTTAAACCTACCTAGTTAAGTGGGCAGATCACTAATTTAATATGTAAGCTCTACTCATTCGGCAGCCCACCTGAGGATCACCATAGATTACTTGCTGAAAATCAGCAACAGGGCTTAAAGCCACAATCCTCTGGCTCAAGCTAGGAGTGCTGCCATTTGAGCCAAACAACCCCAGCCTTATAATATTTCAATAATAACTCGTTGTTGCAATGAGGCAGCACTATACACCAAAACCTTAATGAGGAAGCATCAAGGATTTTAATTCTGAAAGTGTCAGAAGTCATAACAAATGATACAAATTTTCTTGTGGTGGAGTCCAGTAGGTAGAAAGCTGAACTGAGCAGGTATCAGCCCTGGTACAGTTGGTCTCACTCTCACTTTTGAGTTAGAAGGTTGTCGATACAAATCCTAGTCAAGGGATTCGAGGACAAAAAAAATCGCAGAAAGGCGGATCCAACACAGTAATGAGAAAGTGCAGCATGGTCAGAGATACCATCCGAACAAGACAGTAAACCAAGCTACTGAGTGTCCTTTCAGGAGGACGTTAAAGGATCCTGCAGCCACTTTTATTTTGAAGATGACGCTGGCGTAGGAAAGTGCCTGTGTCTGGGGGTCGATGCCTAAACCTCAGGCAAAAAGTGGAAACCAGCTGGATCCTCAAGTCAGTCCCACAAACAGCAACGTGTACAGATTGACTACCGTGTTTATTAGTATGGTGAATGAACTACAACAATCCTGGTGATAAGTAAAATGTTAAAATAAAATACGGCGATAAATGAAGGCGGACAAAAACCGATTTAGGGATGTGAAAGGCGCTAAAGAAACGCGGCTTTCTCTGCCTCATGGGGTGAAGCGGGAGTAGTTGGCGCTGGAGAAAGGAAGTTGCTACCCCGGTAACTCACCGCCATCCAGGTCCACGGTATAAATGGGCAGTGTTTCCAGGGATAGTTTGTAACTGTCAAACTTAGGATCGAGGAGGTGCCGGGAGACCGTCAGGGAACAATTAGCCGCCGCCATCACTCCGCCTGATACACACATCCGGTCACATACTTCCGGTCACTCCTAGGGCAGGCTGGGAGTTGTAGTCCTGTCACTAGACCCGTAAATTAAGATCTTTATCCTTCGATACGTCGCCATTATTTAATGTTCACTGGCAAATAGATTGTGTATTTGCAACACGAATTTAATTCTGGTTTCATATCATGATTTTCTGCAGTTTAGTTCCCGGTTCGGAGGACGTGGGGGAAAGGATATTGCGTTGCACATTCTGTTTCCTCGCTTTTCAATCACATTTCGGCAGGGTTTAATTTTCTATTAAATTCCACAACCCCTCCCCACCCCCTCGCTCATTTTCTTTTAGTTGTTGTTGTTGTTTCTTTGTTATTCGTTCCAGTCCCAGGTTCCTTACAGCCCGGAACCGTTTTGTGGAGTTGCAGGTTGGTGGGGAGTCGGGGAGCGGTATTAGGGCGGACGTTTCCTTGGATCCGCTCTGGGCCACGGTCTGTTGTATGTGAGATAGAGAGAAGTGAGATCGTGAGACAAAAGAGGGGGGGGAATCAGACAGGTAAGACCGGGGCTATTCCGGACAGAGAGAGGAAGTGATTTGGAATGGGGTTTAGAGAGAGTTATGGAGATGGTGGGGTACAGCACGGAAACAGACCCTTTAGTCCAACTCCACCATGCCCATCGGATATTCTCAATTAATCTAGTCCCATTTGGCCTGTATCCCTCTAAACCCTTCTTATTCATACATCCATCTAGATGCCTTTTAAATGTTGTAATTGTACCATCCTCCACTACCTCCTCTGGCAGCTCATTCCACATATACACTACCCTCTGTGTGAAAAAGTTACCCCTTAGGTCGGGGGAGGGGGTGTGCTTTCCAGGGAGTGATGGAGGGAGGTGTGGAGGATTGCAGAGATAGAGGGGAAGAGAGGGTATGGTTGCAGGATTTGGAGGGAGAGTGAGGTGGGGGTTGTTGGAAGAAGAGAAGGAATGGATTGCAGGGTGTTTCAAGGGATTGGGAGAAGGGGTGTTTGGAGGGAGGAGAGGGTGTTTGGGAATAGAGGGGCAGGATTTAGATGAAGGTGATTTTAAAGGGGAGGTTTGGAGGTTAAAGGGATTTTTGGATTGACGACGTTGTTTGAAGGAGCAGGGAAGGGGTTTTAGACTGAAGGAGGGAGGGAGTTTGGATGGAGGAGAGGGGTAGAGGTTTTGGTCAGGACAAGGGATTTGGAGGGAGAGAGGGTGATGAAGGACCATTGGGATGTGGGAGGGTTTATGTGAACATGGATGAGAAGTGGGGATGGAGTGAACAGGAGAATGGGACCAGGAAAGATGTGGTTGGGGAAGATAGAGGAAAGGTGCAGAGAGAGAGAGGATGAAGGGAGGGAAAGGGAAGAGTAGAAATGTAGGATGATGGTAGGGAGGCCAGAGGTTCTGAAAGTTGGAGGTGGTGTGGTGTGGGGTCTGTGGATGACTTTGCTTCATTTTGAACTGTGCTGCAACCTCTTTCCATCTAAATTCTTGTTGTATGGCTCCTTTTTTCTTCCTGACTTTTGGTGTCTCTCACCATGAACACAGGTCTTGGTGCTATACAAAAGCAGCCATCATATAGTTTTTGTTTTTTTTCTGGTCTTGATCTGCTAACAAATGCTGTTTTCTTCAGAGATAAACATGGGTGACAAATGTCCTAGCTGGGCATAATTAGCCAACTTTAACAGAGTCATGTAATTACTGGTATTAGGATGTAAGGCAACAACATGGGATGCATATTGAAGAGCCTTACAGTTAATGTGGGTTACCACTGAGAAATCATTGCAGTTCAATTTTCAGAACGATTGAATAGACAAGGGTGATTTTGGGATTGGTCATAATGCAGTAGCAATGATAATTACTGGGTTGTTTCTTGTATGATTTGTGAAGTATACCTACTGAAAGAGTGGAGTATAGTCTGTTCTAGGCTTTTGATAAATATGAAGCAGTTTCAGTCAGGTATATCTTACAAATGACGGTGTTTCAGACCTTGCATTTCAAATCTAAGTTAAATGCAATTTATTGTGATTTTTTTTTGCAGCCTGTAGGGGGTAGTCACCTATTACAGCAGTATTTAGCAAATAGGAAATGCAGATTTTAAAACCTTGGAGCTGGAATATTTATTGGTGTGAGTGAAGCTCTTTTTTGTGACATGTTTATCTTCCCAGTGTGCCAGGTATGTAAATGGAAGATTAGAAACAGGTAATCATGGAACATACACAGTTATTATCAGTGTCATTTTTATTACATAAAAGCAAAATACTGCAGTTGCTGGAAACCTGAAACAAAGACAGAAAATGCTAGACAAACTCAGCAGGACTGACAGCATCTGTGAAGGTATATTGAGGGATGTCCATTCTGAGAATAACAAATATGAATAAGACTTCAGTGGCAACAGTGGTGTGATAGGAATAGACCATTAGAAATTTTACAATTGGTGTGATATGGTGTTTGAAACTCAGTCTAGTGTAGGACATAAGGATTGTGCATCATCTTATCCAGGAAGCAGCGAGGAAGGGGACTGGTGTCAGGGAACAGGTGGTGATAAAAGCTTTTGTACTATTTTTCTTTATTTCGTATCAAAATGTTTCAGTAATGAACAGCCACCACCTCTTTCTGATTTTTTCCTTCTGCTTGTAACTGTAATCCAAAAACAACATGATGTAATAGGCTTAGCATGAAGTAGAAATGAAAAATGGCTAAAGGCTAACAAGAAGCCAACAATTAGTTTCAAAACTAAAAAACAGATTGGAAATGGGTATTTTTCCCAAAATGAGGATATATTCTGCTATTAGCTCAGCTTGTTTATTTCCTTTCCTAGGTACCTATCTAGAGTCATAGAATCCCTAGAGTGTAGAAAGAGGCAATTCAACCCGTCAAGTCCTGTACCTATCCTCAAAACAGCATTCCACCTAGACCCAGACCCTCACACTATCCCCATAATCCCTCATTCACCATGGCCAACCGGAATACCTCTAGACACTATGGGGCAATTTAGCATGGCCAATCCACCTAACCTGCACATTGTCGGACTGTGGGAGAAAACCGGATCACCCCCTGCAGAAATTTACACAGACAGGAAGAATGTGCAAACTCCACACAGATAGTCGCCCTGCGTTGTGAGGCAGCAGTGCTAACCACTCTGCCCCTCCGCCACTTTTTTTGGGGCGAGGGATAAGGGAGAAAAATCTTAAGTTGTCTTGCCCGTGAGCTATTCTCTGTGGAAAATTTACCAGCTGTGTATTTGAGCTGTTGTAGCTGATGTTTTCATTATGTCTCCAGATTTGATTATGAGCACAATAGCGCAGTGATTTTGGTAATAAGTAATCTGGAGAGTGAGTTCCACTCAAATTGTACATAGATAGTTACCCAGGACTGAAATCAAACCCTGGATCCCGGTAAGGTAGCAGTGCTAACCACTGAGCCACCCTACTGTCCTCTGTTAATTCATACAAAGAACTTTAGGGTATATATCAGAATGTGTTTGTAATTCTAATTTTCTTAAAAACACTTTTTTACTATCACAAAAATCCTTTATGTCATGTGCTTGGTGCTCCTCATATTTGCCTGTTCTATTCATATCTGTCGTCACAAGAATGTTAATCAATTGTGAAAAGTCCAAATGCACAAAGCAGTCAGCTGATAATTTTACTTTACAAGCATTTGGAGAAATATAGCTTTCAAAACACACTGATGAGGGCAGAGCAGTGGATTTGGTGTAAGTGGATTTTAGCAAGGCATTTGGTAAGGTTCCCCATGGTAGGCTCATTCAGAAAGTAAGGAGGCATGGGATTCGGGGAAATTTGGCTGTCTGGATACAGAATTGGCTGTCCAATAGAAGACAGAGGCTGGTAGTAGATGGAAAGTATTCAGCCTGGACCTCGGTGACCAGTGGTGTTCCGCAGGGATCTGTTCTGGGATCTGTGCTCTTTGTGATCTTTTTAAATGACTTGGATGAGGAAGTGGAAGGGTGGGTTAGTAAATTTGCCAATGACACAAAGTTTGGTGGAGTTGTGGATAGTGTGGAGGGCTGTTGTAGGTTGCAACGGGACATTGACAGGATGCAAAGCTGGGCAAAGAAGTGGCAGATGGAATTCAACCCAGAAAAGTGTGAAGTGATTCATTTTCGAAGGTCGAATTTGAATGCAGAATACAGGGTTAATGGCAGGATTCTGGGCAGTGTGGAGGAACAGAGGGATCTTGGGGTCCACGTCCATAGATCCCTCAAAGTTGCCACCCAAGTTGATAGGGTTGTAAAGAAGGCGTATGGCGTGTTGGCTTTCATTGGCAGGGGAATTGAGTTTATGCTGCAGCTCGATAAAACCCTGGTTAGACCACACTTGGAATATTGTGATCAGTTCTGATCACCTCATTATAGGAAGGATGTGGAAGCTTTAGAGAGGGTGCAGAGGAGATTTACCAGGATGCTGCCTGGACTGGAGGGCAGGTCTTGGGAGGAAAGGTTGAGGGAGCCAGGACTTTTCTCATTGGAATGAAGAAGGATGAAAGGTGACTTGATAGAGGTGTACAAGATGACGAGAGGCATAGATAGAGTGGATAGTCAGAGACTTTTTCCAGGGCGGAAGTGACTATTATGAGGGCACATAATTTTAAGGTGATTGGAGGAAGGTATAGGGGAGATGTCAGAGGTAGGTTCTTTACACAGAGAGTGGTGGGCATGTGGAATGCGCTGCCAGCAGTGGTAGTGGAGTCAGATACTTTAGAGACTTTTACACGACTCTTGGATAGGCACATGGAGGATAGTAAAATGTAGGGTATGCAGGATAGTTTGATCTTAGTACGATAATAGGTCAGCACAACATCGTGGGGCCGAAGACCCTGTACTGTGCTGTACTGCTCTATATTCTTAAAACAAAACATTACTGTTCCTTTCACATTGATAAATGCTGCTGTTTTCACACTGTTGCAGTTACTCACTTTTTCTGAAATGAATAAAGACGCACAACTCCGAGCGACTATAAACCAAAAGTTGATAGAAACAGGAGAGCGAGAACGGTGAGATAGTGTCCACTTTAAATATATTTTCCAAGTTCTAAATAATTAGGATGTCAATTCTTTCTAGTCTGTCTTTTTTCCCTACAGTCTGAAGGAATTACTCCGAGCTAAGCTGACCGAATGTGGATGGAAAGATCAGTTGAAAGCGCATTGTAAAGGTAAACTTTCACTGGGAAAGGGGGATGATATCACATTGCAAGCCCTTCAGTTGCAATTTGGAACTTGTGAGCTATTGAAAAATGTTTTATTTTACAAAGGTCAGAAGTGACTGCGGGCTGATTGATCTGAATGCTTATTCTTGGTCACTCAGTAGTTTATGATATAGAGATGCTGGTGTTGTACTGGAATGGACAAAGTCAGAAATTACATGACACCCAGATATAGTCCAACAGATTTATTTGAAATCACAAGCTTTCGTAGCACTGCTCCTTCATACGGGGAAGTAACACTTCACTTCACTTGCTGAAGGAGCAGTGCTTAGAAAGCTTGTGATTTCAGATAAACCTGTTGTATTATAACCTGGTGTCGCGTGAATTCTGACTTTATTCACTGTTTAATATAATTTTCACGGTGAGAGGTCCTAATAGTTTACATAAAACCATGAATGACTTAACGCCAATGGAATTTTCTGTTCAGCCCAAATAGTTGTCCTTAAACCTAACTATATTTTCTGAATAAAATAATTCCGATAAGATAAACAGAAGCTTTAATTGGCCAGTGAAGCTTGTAAACTTAATTAAATGTAGCATTATTAGGGGTTCATGAAATGGTACAGTATGGGAAGACGCCATTTAACCCATTGAGTCCACACTGCCTCCTTACTACAGCAAATGGTGAAATAGGAAGGAAGAAGAAGGCACTGAACCAACATATTGGTGATTTTTCAGTGTCTTGAATTTCAAATTCACCACAGTGATAAATGTCGTCTATCCTGTTGGTTGGGTGGCTTCACCTTTATCCCCAATGATGTGGATTTATACACTCGCTCTTAATTTGCAATCTGTATGAATGGTGTTTGAAGTGCTTTTGTCAAAGGAATTAAGAATGGGACCAAGATACCTGGGATCACCAAGGCAGTTTGCTTTGACTCCTTACCCTTGCCCAAACTTTTGAGTTCTATTTCATGCACAGGTGTTCTTGGAGAGGACTTATGCAATATATGTCAGTTGATTTGAAGACTCCCTCAACTGGTGAGCATTGCAGCACTTTGAATATATTTTGAATACTATAATAGCAAAACAGTTTAAGGAAAAGATATGGAAAGTGATAACCTCAGATGAGTTTCAAAACTAAGAAAAATTGAATACCATGCAATTGTCAATACTTCAATAGGTCTCCTGTCAAAATTTGAAGATTTGTGCTAAGTATTTAGTCAGTTGCTTATTTTGATACAAATGCTTTAAAGCTTGCTTTCTGTCTTTGTGTTGAAATTTATTTCCTCCTCCCCCCATTTCCTTTAGATGTGATCAGGGAAAAAGGCTTGGAACATGTTACAGTTGACGATTTGGTGGCAGAAATTACTCCAAAAGGGAGAGGTATGTGTTTTGTTAACTTATATGGAGTGTGCAGGATGGTGATTCCATCAACTTCAGATGTGAGGATAACTACAGTACCAATTTCTGATGTAGTCGGTGGATCTGCCTCATACTTCGTTCATTAAAACTATTTCTATATGAAGGAAGGACTTAAAGCGGCACAGGTGAACACACGTTCCCCCATTCTGTTTCTGACATTAAAAACAGAAAACACTGGAAACACTTAGCAGGCCTGGGAGCATCTGTTCAGAGAAAGAGTTAACGTTTCCCAGTGAATAACATTGTTCTTCATAAGTACTGTTTCTGTAAGACATGTTCTTGGCATATGGGCTCAAATCCCACCATGACAGCTGGTACAATTTAAATTGTCACTAAATTTGGAATTGAAAAGCTGGTCTCAGTAATAATGGCTATGAAGTTATCATTGTTGTGAAAACACTTCTGGTTCATTAATGTCCTTTAGGGGAGAAAATCTAGCTATCCTTACCTGGTCTGGCATGCATGTGACTCCGGACCTACAGCAATGTGGTTGGTTCTTTACCCCTACTCACAGGCAAATTAGGGATGGACAACAAATGCTGGCCTTACCAGTTGCGATGCCAACATGTCATGAAATTATTTTTTTTAAAACAATGTAAATCAATGTGCTGAGAATAGATCTCGTGTCAAAACTTGAAGATTTGTGCTAAGTATTTAGTCAGTTGCTTATTTTGATACAAATGTTTTAAAGCTTGCTTTCTGTCGTTGTGTTGATTTTTTTTTCCCCTTTCCTTTAATCTTAAGAATAAATAGTGTTGCTGCACTTAGCTCCAATATCACAATTCTATCTCCACGATGGATGTTCCACAGCCTGCCTATGCTGGAGCTTTTGTACTTCTGACTGTGACCTGATGTTAACTGCTCAGAATTTACTATTAAGCACATGATTTATTCCAGTTTTCTTTTCAATAAATTCAATCTGATATCCAGTTGTGTATGTCACCTGGATGGCCTGTAGCTCCCTACATAAATTCATCTATACAAGTTAGGAACAGTAGGCCCCTTAAATCTGCTCCACCATTTGATAAATTCAAGGCTAATCTCTTGGAAATGATCCTAGCTGATGTTATTACTGGGCTAGTCAGATCCCAGTTTGAAATCTAATTTGATCAATTATATTTTGATCTTTCACTGAAACATGAGCACGCAATGCTGCACATTTTGTTGTAACAATATGTTTATAATACACAATAGAAATGAAGATAAAATAGAACAACCAAACTATTTTCATTAAACACAATTGGAACGATTATGAAACACAGGACAGAAAAAAATTCCTATCTGTGCCAATGCCATCATTTGCAATACTCAAATACCAGAGAGAATTCCATTTTTTATCACATCTATAGGTTTTAACTGTTATTTTCAATTCCCGGTATGGAGAATTTGTTGGCCTTTTCCTTGATTATTCACACAACTGACTTTAAACCTTCTTCATTTCAAATAACCAGGACTGTAGCCAAAAACTTCTCATCTGGAATCTCATCTGCTGTCTTCCTCCTGTACCTTCGACTCTTGTCAGTGAAGAATCTATCTCTGCCTTAAAAGTATTCAATGACCCTGCCTCCACTGCTGTCTCGAGAAGAAAGTTCAACAGAACAATGTCCTTCTGAGAGAGAAATTCTTCTCATCGCCGTCTTAATTCGAGGCCATTTATTTTTAAACTGTGTCCTCTAGGTCTAGCCTCCCACACAAGGGAAAATCTCCTCTCAGCTCATTCTCCCACCCAGTTTTGTCACATCTGCAAACTTGGAGTTATTACATTTAGTTCCCTCATATAAGTTATTAATATGTTGTGAATAGCTGGGGTCTAAGCATTGATCACTGCATTACCCCACTAGTCACTGCCTGCCAGTCAGAAAAAGATGTTTATTCCTACTCTTGTTTCCTGCTTACCAGTCAGGTTTTCCTCCATGCCAGTGCACTATCCCTGAAGTTTTACATGCTAATCTCTTATGTGGGAGTTTGGCCATTCCCAGAGAGTATTGTGTCGGGTGAATGGGTGGAAGTGACAGTATAAGGATGTTGTATAACCCTCTCTGGTATCTTTATTTTGTCCCCAAATGCGACTAGAGCTAGGCTGTTAAGTGTCACTTTGGAGTGAAGCAGAAACTTCCTTTTGTCCATTCAAATTACCATTTTGTTTACAACAATTTTTCTGCCTGCCTCAGCAATTGAAAAACACTTCCAAGTGGCAGTGGTTTTTTTATTATTGGGTCTCTTTTTCCTAAATTAACACTGCACACATTATGTAGTCCAAAACAAGAAGGCCAAGGTTTAAGGTGAGAAGGGAAAGATTTAAAAGGGATCTAAGGGACAACTTTTTCACACAGAGGGTGGTGTGTATATGGAATGACCTGCCAGAGGAAGTGGTGAAGGCTGGTACAATTACAACATTTAAAAGGCATCTGGATGGGTAAACAAGTAGGAAGGGTTTATAGGAATATAGACCAAATGCTAGCTAATGGGACTAGATTAATTTAGGATATCTGGTCAACATGGACAATTTGGACTGAAGGGTCTGTTTCCATGATGTACAGCTCTATGACACTACAACTTAATTAACTTTGCCTCATTTAGCTGCCATCTCAAAGCCAAAGTCGAGCCTGCAATCATGTCTGATCTTAAGTCTCAAAGAACGGTTCTGCTCTGGCTGTTCCCTGTCCCAAGACTGGTTGCTCTCAGATGCTGCGTAAAAGGAAGCTGGTCTGACTCAGCCCTTGCTGCAACTTCATTCTTACAGCCTATTACTTTTATGCTTTGACCAATCACTCCATTCCTTGGTTCAAATGAGAAATAGGGTAACCCATTAGAAATGTGACTTGGTGTATTCTTGCTTGAAACGAATATATTATGACTGATTTTAAATAATGTAATTAATTGAATCTTTGTGCTTCTATAATGTAGATTAATATGATCCGAGCACAATCTTCTAACTTGTTTATATGTATTGTGCTAACTTAGTTCTTATTCTTTCTTTCAGCCCTAGTGCCAGATAGTGTAAAGAAGGAACTTTTGCAGAGGATAAGGACCTTTCTTTCTCAGCATGCCAGTCTTTAAGTTTCCGATGAGCAAATTGCCATTTCTTTGTAGTTTAATTGATCATCAGATTGGCTCCAATGCCGAGGTGAAACTGAACATGGCTTTATTTTTTGTGACAAGCTTTTGTGATTGTTTTGTAATACATTTATTGTCTTAAGTTTTTATGTTCATGAATATAATTCACAAGCAGCTTTTCTACCCACTTCGCAATTTTCAATGACATGTTAAATGTGTTTAAATAAAATTTATTTTGAAATGATTATTTCTTTGAGTTGTTTTTGTAAAGTAATTTTAGATAACCTTTGTTCAGGAAGAAGTATAGGCTTGTGCATGCAGTTATCGGTGTTCAGAACAGTTGTTAAATGAAAATTTTTACAATTGTCAAGCTGCCTCTATGTTAAAGACCAATATTTCTTTGAGTCTGTGTGGAACTTTGCTTTTGTCCCTTAAGCCGTCGGTGAACAGTTTCCATCATTCTTATTCTGGGAACAGCCACTTACCTGTCAATTTTGAGCACGCAGTGTTGAGGTGTCTTTTTTTTTCTAAGATCTGACTGCAGTGGAGGTAAATTCTGTAAGGGCTGCATTGAACATAAACAGGGAAGTTCTAGTATTCTAACCGCTATTCATGCCTCATGTTAAACCATGAAATAGACTGTCAAAAGAAAAGTACTGCAGATAGTGGAAATCTGAAATAAAAATAGAAAATATTGGAGATATTAAGCACATCCAGCAGCATCTATAGAGAGATAAAAACAGTATTTTAGGTTGATGACCTTTGATCAAAAAAGATTAGCAAAACCTTTCTGGTCATTTAAGTTAAATATTTCTTTCTCCACAGATGCTGCCTGACCTAACTATATCCAGCGTTTCCCATATTTGAAATCTAACAAGCTTATTTATTATTTGACTCGTTGCTATTTATTTATTATCTTGCTGTGTCAACTGAGTGCAATGTTCATGCATTACAATGATGAATGCAACTCAAAGCAATTTAATTTGCTCTGAGGTGTTTTTGGGAGACTGGGAAGCCATCATGATATAGATACTGAGACAACAAGGTGCAGGGCTGGATGAACACAGCAGGCCAAGCAGCATCATAGGAGCAGAAAGGCTGACGTTTCGGGCCTAGACCCTTCATCAGAAAAGGGGGAGGGGAAGGGGGTTCTGCAATAAATAGGGAGAGAGTGGGAGGCGGATAGTAGGTGGATAGAGGAGAGGAAAGGAGGAGAGGAAACAAACAGGTCGAAGAGGCGGGGATGGAGCCAGTAAAGGTGAGTGTAGGTAGGGAGTTAGGGAGGGGATAGGTCAGTCCAGGGAGGACGGACAGGTCAAGGAGGCGGTATGAGGTTAGTCGGTAGGAGATGGAGGTGCGGCTTGAGGTGGGAGGAAGAACAGGTTAGGGAGGCGGGGACGAGCTGGACTGGTTTTGGGATGCGGTAGGGGGAGGGGAGATTTTGAAGCTTGTGAAATCCACATTGATACCATTGGGCTGCAGGGTTCCCAAGCAGAATATGAGTTGCTGTTCCTGCAACCTTTGGGTGGCATCGTTGTGGCACTGTAGGAGGCCCAGGATGGACATGTCGTCTGAGGAATGGGAGGGGGAGTTGAAATGGTTCGCGACTGGGAGGTGCAGTTGTTTATTGCAAACCGAGCGTAGGGGACAATAGCACCCAGCCCTGCTGAGTCTTCACCTACCCCTTACTGAAGACGAATGGTCAGTCCTCAGCAAAGCCAGTCCAGCTCGTCCCCGCCTCCCTAACCTGTTCTTCCTCCCACCTATCCCCTCCTCCCACCTCAAGCCGCACCCCCATCTCCTACCGACTAATCTCATCCCGCCCCCTTGACCTGTCCGTCCTCCCTGGACTGACCTATCCCCTCCCTAACTCCCCACCTACACTCACCTTTACTGGCTCCATCCCCGCCTCTTCGACCTGTTTGTTTCCTCTCCTCTATCCATCTTCTATCCGCCTCCCACTCTCTCCCTATTTATTTCAGAACCCCCTTCCCCTCCCCCTTTTCTGATGAAGGGTCTAGGCCCGAAATGTCAGCCTTTCTGCTCCTATGATGCTGCTTGGCCTGCTGTGTTCATCCAGCCCTGCACCTTGTTGTCTCGGATTCTCCAGCATCTGCAGTTCCTACTATCTATGATATAGATACTAGTTTCTAGAGAGTACCAATTTTTTACCATCCAATTGTGATTAGTTGACAAAGTGTATTGAGGATTTGGGTAAGTTGGAAAACTTTACACTCTGGTGAATTTTATTTTAATTGTGAAATTTCAGATTAAGAGGTTCTCTTGAGATTTCTTGTAGTTTTTCCAGAATTTCTTTCTGACATCAGTCCTTGCTGTTGGAAATGCGTGAATAATCTTTCTGCTCTGTAACAAGACTTTTTTTTGATAAGTTAGTAGACTTATTTGAAGACTAGTTGGCCCTGAGAATACCTTTATTGGTTTGAAAAATGAATTCCACATGCCTTAAATAGTTTATTGGCCCTATACTCTCGAGGGCTTTGCCTGAAAGAGTGTGTGTGTTTTTGTACATGAATAATAAATAACCATAAAACTCTGAGCCTCTTATATTGATGGTATTTATTTTAGATTCTGTACACAGCTGGAATGTTGATACTTGGCCAAAGCTGTAGAGTGCATACATGTATTTCCTTAACGCAGAGTTTTGGTGAAAAAAAAACTTAATTAGCTGCACTATATCAGTAATGATAAATCTATGCAAAATATTGGCTAGGCTACAGCTGAAGCATTGAGAGAAGTTTTGGATAACCATTCTACCAAAGACATTTAAAGTCATGGATATTGTGCAATGTAGGTTCATCAAGATGATAGTGATAGAAATGTTGAGATACCGCTTATCAGGGTTCATATGAATAGTGTGAAACTTGTGTAATTTATAGTGATTTCATGTGTTTATTGCTTTCAACAGGATGTTGAAAAATTCTATGTATCTGAATAGTGAAAATGCAAAACTCCTGACGCAGAGAATCAAACTCATGATGCTTGACAATCCTGATTACTGGCTGTCAACAACTAGAATCTTGAAGTCACTGTAGTGACATTGATAGTTACTCAGATTCATGCTATTAGCAATATAGGTATTGGTTGGGAGCAGAGTCTCTGTTTCAAAACTAAAATACACACCGGTGTTTTACATTACAAGTTTTATTTAGCTTTGTGTTCATTTATTTTCTTTGCCAATATGTATTCCAGCTGTGAAACTGATACAAGGGCTGAAGCATTAACAATTAAAGTCTAAACTTAGTAGTGGTGTTGGTGTGATACCAGTCATTCACATTTGTTTCAAGGATTATTCCCACAAATTCACCATTCAACAGTTTGCTGAATCCATTTGATATCAATTTGACACTGGTGTATTCATTCGTGAAAATAAGGAATTGGATCACTGTGCATGTTTTGAAGAATTTGATCTCTTTAGAATGAATGGATAGCTTTGTTTTTGAGCATTGTACTTGGTACATGTCCACACCAAAGAATGGCAAACTCCTTGAACAGTTCTTGATGTTCCCATTACTGAAACTTACATCAAAGTAAGTTTCAGACTGCAAGTTAACCCCAATTTCAACATCTGTTTGTTCATTTGAGACTTTAACCATTCAGTCGCCTCAACAGACTCAGGATACTTAAGTTGTAAAGTAATAATATCAAAGCAAGGCAGTGACTTTGTGGGCTCACTATGGTTCTTCTTTCCTGTTTCAGCTTGGGACATGTGGTCAACACTTGATCTCTGATCTCTCAAACACCTACACTAATCCTGCTTCTGACTGAACTGAGCCTTCAGATTCAAGCTTGGTGCAGCACTTTGGTCACTGAAAGCTGGTGCTTATTAACTCCTTCCAGCTATAGCATGATCAATTACATCATTACATGGATTTGTGAGGGGTAGATCATGCCTCACAAACCTTATTGAATTCCTTGAAGAGATGGCCAAACACGTGGATGAAGGTAGAGTAGTGGATGTGGTATACATGGATTTAAGTAAGGTGTTTGATAAGGTTCCCCATGGTAGGCTCATGCAGAAGGTAAGGAGGCATAGGATAGGGGGAAATGTGGCAGATTGGATTCAGAATTGGCCGACCCTTAGAAGGCAAAGGGTGGTAGTGGACGGCAAATATTCAACATGGTGCTCAGTTACGAATGGTGTATCATAAGGATCTGACCTGGATCCTCTTCTATTTGGGATTTTTGTAAATGATTTGGATGAAGGAGTGGAAAGGTGGATTAGCAAGTTCGCGGAGGATATGAAGCTGGGTCGCGTTGTGGACAGTGCGGAGGGCTGTTCTAGGTTACAAAGGGACATTGATAGGATGCAGAGCTGGGCTGAGAAGTGGCAGATGGAGTTTAACCCTGGAAAGTGTGAGGTGATTCATTTTGAAAGGACAAACTTGAAAGCAGAATACAGGGTTAACGGAAAGATTCTTGGCAGTGTGGAGGAGCAGAGTGATCTTGGGGTTCGTGTTCACAGTTCCCTGAAAGCTGCCACCCAGGTGGATAGAGTTGTTAAGAAGGCGTATGGTGTGTTAGCTTTCATTAATAGAGGGATTGAGTTGAAGAGCCGTGAAGTTATGCTCCAGCTATTCAAAAGCCTGGTTTGGCCACATCTGGAGTATTGTGTCCAGTTCTGGTCGCCTCATTACAGGAAAGATATGGAGGCGTTGGAAAAGGTGCAGAGGAGATTTACCAGGATGTTGCCTGGAATGGAGGGAAGGTCTTACGAGGAAAGGTTGAGAGAGCTAGGGCTTTTCTCTTTAGAACGACGAAGGATGAGAGGTGACTTGATAGAGGTGTACAAAATGATCAGAGGTATGGATAGAGTGGACAGCCAGAGACATTTTTCCTAGGGTGGAGGTAGCTATTACGAGGGGGGCATAGTTTTAAAGTGAATGGAGGTAGATATAGGGGAGACATCAGAGGTAGGTTCTTTACTTAGAGAGCGGTAGGGGCGTAGAATGCATTGCTGGAGAGGGTAGTGGAGTTGGCCTCATTAGGGGCATTTAAGCGGCTATTAGATAGGCATATGGATGATAGTATAAGGTAGGGGTGGAGGTTAGATAGGCCTTAGGATTAGGGTAAAAGTTCGGCACAACATCGTGGGCCAAAAGTCCTGTACTGTGCTGTACTGTTCTATGTTCTATGTTCTATTATATTTAGGTTGGCTTTAAGGAGGACGGATGCTGATTGGTATTACTTCCCACTGTGTCCTGATTGGCTTCTTGAGTCAATTATCCA